ATAAATGCATTCTTTTAAAATCCTTTTTTTGATATTAGGATATTTAAATCTGAGTCCTAAGTATGATTAGTCACGTTGTGATAAAATTCGTAATAATTGCTTTTTTTGCATTTAATATGCAAATACTCACTAGTAGGGTATTGATTATCACGATTTTATACGTAAACAGATAATAGGAGGCGTTTCGGTGACAATAACAGTATATACACACACGAGACGTGTTTATCGTTTATATGGCAATCAGAATCGTGTCCGTTGGCAGTCAATCGTCTGTGCGACAATAGCACCGGTTATAATTTGCGGCAAGTCATCGTTATACTAATAATAATAATAATAATAATAATAATAATAATAATAATAATAATAATAATAATAATAACAACAACAATATACTATATACCTATAATCATTATCATTTGATGGTTGTGGATTATCGTCAATTAAGTGGTTTTAGAATTCTTTCCGTGCTTGTATAATAAGTACAACCGTGTACATCGTATAGTGCACCGAGGGCGCTTTAAAATAATAATAATTATTATAAAAACTAACGAAAGGGGAGGCTTAGCATGTCGTCAATTTTATAGCACTACGGCGTGTTCACCCAGAAATATTAATATAAACCGAGGGTACTCGTTTTATATGCCGACGTGAATGTCGATCGAGGATAGAAGATATTGTTTTTTTTGGATATAGATCTGTAATCGTGCCGGAGAACAATATTATAAAACAAAAAAATGATCGTACAAACTATTACTGCAATCGTCACACTATTCAATGGATGGGAAATTACAAAAAATTAAACAACCAGCGTTAACGGTAGTGTCGTCGCGTTATCGAAGTTAAGAACAATGATATGTCATATTAGTATTATTATTATTATTATTTTTTTTTTTTTTTTTTGATCTTAACTTCGGCAACTGAGGCCATTAGCTGTAGTAGGATTTGTATTGTAGGTTTGTTTGTATTGTATATTTTGGGACGGTAGGGGGGAACACGTGTGTGTTTGTTTTTGGCAGAATTTCGAATGGGGCACCCGTAGGTTTCTGCCATGCCCCGGGGGTGGGGGATGGCAGCACTTGTTCTCCGGTCACCGCGACTTGTCCGGAGAAAAATGCCGCCCGGTAGCCGAGGATCGAACCGCGACCGGCTGCGTCGCAGCGGACGCGTCAGACCACTCGGTCACCTCATCCCCCAGTATTATTATTATTGTAAAAAAGATAGACCATAATATTGACCGCTGAATTAGCGATTGAACCGACTGGAGCGTGACAAAGTAAAAAAAAAAAAAAGGAGAAGTCACCTTTTAAAACTATTATTTCGATCGGTATATTTGTCTTTTCAACTATATGTGTACACAAATTTAAATAGCTCAATAACTATAAGTTAGCATTTTGATTCTTTTAAGTCTAAATTTTCAGAAAAATGATCAGCTAAATAATTTAAGGTGGAAAAATGAGGGGTTGTTATTTTAAAAACTGACTTTTTTTCTCAAAATTATACTCGTTCAGTAGTACAAAAAATCTCAACAATTTGAAAACACCAAAAGTCAGATAGATGAGTTACATTAAATTATTGAAGAAAAAAGGAGTGGATGAGCAGGTTTGGTGAATCATCCTGTATAAAACATCCAACTCGATTCGTGTACGTAATTTTTCCATTTTCCATCAACGGGATATGTGAGTATACTAAAAGCTTCCAATCCAAAGCGTATCGTTACATTGTTGTTGTTGTTGTTGTTATTGTTGTTTTTTTTGTAAGTATACGACCCGGTAAATCCGGCTACGGAAAGTTTCGCACCAACCGTGAGTATAATATATTATATCGGCGGAAGTTGCACGTACGAAATAGGGCGATATTATAAATCGGCGGCGGCGATCAGATTTGGGGGATTGATAAAAAAATCCCTCGAGGATTACGTGAGGGACAGCGGTGGCAGCGGCGTTTTTGTTTTTACTTGCCGTACTTAGGTATATGCGTACAAGTCCAAAACCCTAAAAAACGACTGCGTGCTTGCATATGGTATATATACGTCCGATACATGAAAGACTAAATCGTGCTTCTGCATATATATATATATATTGTGTGTGTATGTGTGTGTGTGTGTGTGTGTGTGTGTGTGTGCGTGTGTGCGTGTGTGATAACACTGGCCCGATGTTGACGTTGTTAAAAAACAAAAGTCTTTTCGTCAAAGCCAAAATGAAAAGAACACAAATAATAAGTAAAGCTATTCTTCCTCTCCCTTTCATACGTGCACAATAATTATTGTTTTAATCCGACCTAACATAGTTTTAAGACTTTTCGTTTGCAACTTATTGGCAGCACAGTTGACCTCCGACGGTGGCTATAGCGTGGTCATATTTCACGCAGTCCCGTCGTGAGACCGTTTACAGTGTAACTTCTCGTCACGTCCGTTCGAAAATATGTACTGGTAAACTATTTACCTACTAATTACTGTAAGACTCGGCAGTTTTCATAACATTGTACTGTTGTATACCCGTGTTACACGAATACAATATTTACGAATTTTGATTTATTCGTATTGCAAAAGTAAAAACATTTGATACAATTTTTAAAATAACCGTTTTCGTCGGCATCGCAATGTAACAGGTACAGAGTATAAAATGACGTAGTATAAGTTACTTAATATTTAAGTTCTGAATAATTAAAACAATATTAATGGTAAATTTCTCTATTTTTTTTTATCAGAAGTGAGACGAAAATGTTTTTTTTTACATTTATACAATATAATATTATTATAAAAATGAAACCACATGCACGCCTATTCACCACATTTCGTTTACGGCCTAACACATACTGGGTGCGTTATACTTTTACACATCTGTCCGTCATTCGTGCAATGGTAGAGGATGTGATCCACCGCTCTTGCAGACTTAATGTCCGTATTATTTTAGGACGTAATAAAAAAAAAAAATTAATTTCATCCCATCGTCCTCATCGTCGGACTCGAATCACGTTCAAAAGGTCCAGACACGTTCCGGGATCGGTCTCTGACGTAGCGGTGGCGGCAGCGGTGGCCATACACGTTCGCATTCACGCTCAGCCCTGCAGACCCAGTAATTGAGCTAGTCTATTGCATCTGACCCAAACGCCGCCACTGCCATCGTCCCGGGTTTTTATTAATTTTATCGAAACGAAGTTTTTCAAAGTGTGTTTACCACCCCTACCCCCCCCCCCCACACATCGTTATACACATGCACACTCGCGAACCCCCGACCACATGCATCGGCTACTATTCCGAGAATTACCCAAAGAAACCGATGCCCCCGGGTCCATTGCCGGTTTAATTAAAACTCTCTGATCCCCAAGCCCAAACAAAATAAACTCTCGAGCCCGGACACGTCTGATTGCACCGAAGTCAACATGCAATAATTTTTATAATAGTGGCCAAATGATTAAATCCATGACAGCCACAACAATTAAAACCCATTATATCCTGGTGTGAACAATGATAAAGGCAACATGAAATATTTCAAAAGTACCTATAAGTATGACGTACATTTTATTCGGGATTTTTTTTCTACACATACTACACTTATTTTCGAGTATACTCAAATAATAATTAAAATATTATTTAACCCTTTTTTACAACGTAGCAAGACAATTTTTTTAAATTTCAACGCCTCCCTTTTTGAGTTTAAATTTGAATTTAATTTTTTTTTTTTTAATATGACATATTATGCTTTTTACCAATTATCTTTCGATTTTTTTTCAACCGACAATTGGTCAAAGTTTTTATTTGCACAATAAACTATACTTGTATTTATCTCATTGGAGGATGTATATTTTCATTATTTTTAAGATGAATCGCAAGGTATAGTGCCCTCCTTGCCAATATTATATATAAAAAAGGTCATGGTGGATCCATAAAATCACAATATATTATTTAATTTAGTGTTGTTTGTGCCGGTCATTCTTTTACATCAACCACTTGACCTTGACCACGCTCGTAATTGCAGATTGAGATCAAATTTTTTAAATTTAAAATTATCATTTATACACTTCAAACGTATACGTACTACTAATGTACTAGCATTGGCTATTATAAACTGATTGGCAGTATGATAAATGATTATTGAGGTTCCAAAAATTAATCTTCGATTATACTCGAAACGGTGCCTTAGTACTCTTAGCAGGTATCGATATTATATTATAGTGTCCCACATAAGTCATAATAATGTATTATACCATGGACTCGGGTAACTATTATATTATACAGGAATAATCGAAATCTCCACCTTGTCGTCTGTCATGCCTGGTCGACTAAGACCATTATCGCCGTCACGTTTCAGAAGAAAAGTAACCAAAGACCGTCCATTCGTTGTCAGACTTATTAATCTCTGACAGTCATCTTTGTTTGTTTCGGTTTTGGTTATTGTTAGTATACTCTAACAATACAATTGAACTAAAATAGTATAGTAAAATCAATTGTCCTACAATAACAGTGTATAATATACGTTTGTTTTTTAATGAGAAACTCCCACTGAGACAGTCAAATTTTGGTTGTACAAAAAAAAATTGAAATCCATCTAAATTTGAAACTTTTCTTTGACTATTCTCTTTTATACATCAAGCAATTATTTATTACTTAATTCTTTAAAATATGAAATTAAAATGATTTGTAATAGTTAAACAAATGTAAATTATAAAAATCATGCATTCAGAATAAAAATGTTAAGAACATTTTTTTTTAAGAAGCACCTGCACACACACAATAGTGGCTATTTACATCTGCCGTTAAATTTAATTAAATTTTCTTATTTACATTTCTTCCAAAAATTAATGTTAACAAAGTTAATGATTTTGTTGACTGATGACAGAATTACACACAGCATTATTATAATATGTAAGTATCAGAGGTACTTAGGGTTATATAATGCGTACTCTCAGGTTACATGGCTGTCATGAATAATTATTGTTATTTCATGTACAATGTAGATAATTATTAATTATTAATGAATATTAAGTTATTTTGGTCTCACCAAAACTGCTGACGGCGACCACTGCGACGACCAGCAACAATGTCCTCGAGCTCCACGAGTCCACTGCGACTGTGTAGGTATACGGCCGCATTTCTCCGAAGATAGGACCAGTTCCCTTAATTTATTCTCACATTTATGCACTCTACAGATGTTTCACGTTACAGTACCTCTTCGGAGATCTGAAACGACAACCAAATCGAACCTATTTTATTACCATAACATTATATTAATAGTTAATTTATTAAACTTGAAACGAAAAAAAAAATATACATATATACATATGGAAGTAGTTAATATTAACAGTAATATGTAGGTATTGTTTTTTAAACAATTTCAGGTAATTAGTGGTTTATAGGTAATATTAACATTTGTAATTTTTTCAGCTGAATCGGTAGGTTTATAACTGTTATTACTTTTGTTATTTTATTTCTTTTTAACCGTTACGCAGCTATTTTTGGCCTACATCACACGGCAATTTCCACGCCATACAATATATACAATCAACTGATTAGACAACAATCACAGTGACAAATTATCGTCATTTTAGTATCAAATTTTAGGAGATATAAATGCATGACACAGGTATATAAATAACGAATCAGACCTGTGCAAGTCTTTGATGTATACACCGATCGATATAAAATCCCGAGAGTGCTCGCATACATCGCATAATATAACATACAATAAAATATGGTATATATGCACCTAATTAGGTCGCGTGTTATATTTTAATATAGGTAGCACGTATGATTTGATGTGGTTCGTGTACGAAGTCGAGTATTTACGATTCTGCGATTTGTTCGTCAAATACTCTGCTCACGCCGGGAAATCTGATCACGACGAATCTATTGTTTTTGGCCGTTTTATAAATACACACATATATAGTACATGTATACGATGTACCGTATATTATGTTATATTATATTGTTCATCCTCTCTCATAACCGTCACATCGATCGTTTTCAGTTCAGTCGCGCAAGCACGCGGAAACCAGGGACTGTGTCTCTCGGAATCAAATCTAATAGTGTTCGAAATCATAAGTTATAGAAAGTATTATTGCCCGAGACGTATCAAAGACACAAGGTGCAGACGTTCGCCGACCACAGTCTGAATGAGAACTATATATACGTATATAGAATGTTATGTGCACTTCGCATGGACAATTTGCTAGATTTATTAATTTCTCGATGACCTATATATAGTTACAGAGGCCATAGTTCAGTGTGGCGCGTGCAGTGATATCGACACCGATTCCGAAAGATCAATCCGAGACCGGGACTTTGAGTTCAACCCTATCTAATCTTTTATTTCCGAGTATAATAATATTACTACAAGCTTAAATGCGTGTTGGTACGTATTTAAATACCGTGATGCATATTATAATGATGTTATGAATTATCGCGCTCGACTTGTTGCATGTTCTGTTATTGCACTAAAAGTAATTCTCTTTTGACGCGTGCTGCGCAATAAAACAAGCGTACAACATAAGTGTACAGCCACAGTAATATACGTTTTTCGTTTTCATAAAATATGGAAAACTTTTCGAGACCTCGGCAAGAGCGTATGATAATAATGATGATGATATAATAATAATAATGATAGTAATACTGAGAAGTGGCAAAGAATTGTTTGGCCACTTGGTTTCACCGCTCGGCGGAATTCGAGTAAAATATACGAGTTCCGGTTGTTTGTAGTGGTGTGCATTTTTATAATTTTATTGCGTACCTATACATAATAAATCTTTCTAAACGTAATAAACCAAACGTAGAAATGTTTTTACTTCACGCGTATTCGGTATGTCTATATGTGTGTGTGTGTGTGTGTGTGTGTGTGTGTGTGTGTGTGTGTGTGTGTGTGTGTGTGTGTAATGTGTATGTGTGTTGTTTAAGCACATAATACGTTTTTACCGTAGTTCGTGGTCTAGACTTCTACAGAATAACGATCATTATTATGAGTAGCTATTTTCTTTTTACACTCCAAAATACAATCAACTGAAAACGTCAACTTTTTTATACATAACGTTTGATTTTATTTTATCAAGTCCCAAACTGACATTCATATGATCATTGTAGTCACAAGTGAACTCGCCTTTGATCGGAGTGTACACATTTATTATGTAGTTGTCGATGTTGGTAATAATATTATTGAATTAAAAACCAACAAAATACCAAACGGATGTAATTATGTCCTATACAATCAAATGGCTAATGTGGTTTTATTTTATTAAAACGATAAGAATCCAAGGCTATCTAGTATTTACAGGTGAACAGTAATCCCATGTTTTTTTCATCATTATAATTATAATTATTATGTGGTAGAAAAAAATATAATTTTAATACAGTCGAAAAATAATAAAACATATTGTTATATTATCGTGAACTACATTGTTTATGTACACAATATATACAAGAACTCAATCTGTGATCTAATTCTTACTTCATAGCTTATAGCATGGTATAGTTACTAGACTCTAGTATATACTTGAATGTTAGAGCACTACATATTGCTATTACTTATGTAATTTATCGATGTCAACAGATTGTGTTCAATGGATAGGGCAAAAAACTATCTAAAATGGTAATTTTGCATAGAGCATACACTCATTTATATTATAACGTAATGTTTGGAAGATTAATAAACACAAGTACCTGTAAATTATAATATTTAAATTTTTTTTTGTTGTTGTGCCTTTGGCGACATGGCCCATTGGAAAAAAACCTTTGTGTTCACCTATCCGGGATCCAACGACGTCGAGTGATGCTTGACCAAAATTTCGCACCAGGCCCATTTAGATTTTTTTTAAAGTAAACTAATCAATTAAGATATAGTCAATAATAGTTATTAAATAAAATAAAAATACCTCAGTTCGACTTTAAGTTGAAAACAGGGCGTAATCCTTCTTAAATTATCGATGAATTGTTTTTCTTAAAGGTTTTTCTTTCAATTGTTATAAATTAATTTTGATGTCGTTTATTGTTGAATTTAAATTAGCGATATTCTTAAATTTGAACTGAGTGACCCCTCATATTTTCTCTGTAGGACAAAATACGTTTTTCTCACATCGCTGGATTGTCGATGAACACAGCGAAAAGCAGTAAGTTATATTATACATACACTGAATTATTTGTTTGATGTGAACTATTAAGGAATTTAACTTTTCGAGAGTTATATTTCTTAATGAGGAAGACAAACACTTTTAAGATTAATAATACTAGATCAGTTATTCATAAAAAAATCAGAACTACTGTTTCAAGGATTTAGCATGTGCCTAATTCTGACGATTCCCATCAGATTCAAATCATCTCGTTGGTGGTGCAGTTCGTTTCAATTTCAGGAATATCAGTTCCTAACGTAATTATTATGATCTATGTATACAACTTTTTCAATATTAACGATATGAACTCAGACTCCTCATTGTTTTTGTACTACACACATCGCTAATGATTTTTCCGGTCTTTCTACAAAATTTTCACTGCTATATGACATAACGGTTTTCGATTAAAGTGTCACTGTCTCATCCGCTTTTTGCAAATTTTAATGGAATATGATTTTATAATAAAGTAAAGTACAATTTAATAAAAATAAAATACATTTATTTTTTGTTTCATTAAAAAATATCATAATTTGTACAGTAACAATTGTCAACCTATCTGCTAATCAATATCTATTTTCACGATGATTTTAATTTAACAATATCGATTGACGGTAAATTGTATTTTATAATAGTCATTAAACAATAGATTTATATTCGTATAATATCCCACCCCACGAGAGTGAAATTGATTTATTACATTTTTCATCCATTTTCAAGTAAAGTATTTTTAAATATTTTATTTTATAATATTTCCGTGTAAAAATACTTTTTCCGTCGTAACAAATCTCTAAACGCTGTGCGATGATCAGACACGATGCACTCCTGGACTAGCAAATTTCATTCTTTTCAATACATTATTATTGTTATCCTGTGAACTTTGTGTTCAACAAATATAAATATATGCATCCATTATATTATAATACGCCATTTTACATTCGCACAAAATGAAATCGTTTTACAACTGAACGAGAAGACCGTTCACCTTATGTCATTGTCTACGTCTATTTAGGTGAAGAATGATCATTATTATTATGTATTTCAAAGTACTTTTGTGTAGAGAATAAAACATACTTTATATAATTCTTGTAGTATATATTATGGGGCACTAGATATAAATCTATCATGTAAATTGTTATGTTTAAAATAAATGAACAGTACCTTTTGTTCTTCCTTTAAATTTAGTTCAATAGTATATTTTATGGTAGTATTATAATACATCAATATAATTTGATAATATTTTATAGAATATTATACAGAGTATAAACAAAAGTAAAAAATATGCTAAGATACAATATCAAAGATCAAGATATATGTTTTTTTTTTTTGAAACATTATTAATACCTAATTATCCAGCTTAACTAACTGTGTAATGATAATAATATGATAAAGTATAATAATAAATTATAACACGTACAATTAAATAGTAAGTATGTTTCATGAGGAACACAATAATTTAATTGATCAGGTTTCTACAGGAGCGTATTGGCATATAAATAAACGTCGTATTCATGGAAATAATTGTATACCATTAACATTTATTAAATTAACCAACGTAATTGCTGTATAATATGATAAGTAATTTTTTTTTACCTATCATTTTGCAGAATAATTTTGAACTAAATTTACTCAACAACACACTGTTAGAGTTATAGAAATAAAATTTAATATTAAAACTTATCGATTTTAAGGTATACGAAAGAAAGATTTAATTAGAGTTAACTCCCAGTGGAAAGCAATAAATACGCCGGAGGGATGGTCCGAGCTGCATGTAATATTATATTATACAACTTAAAGTTTATAAACTATTATTTTATGAACAAATACAAATTAATTTATCTCATTCAGCTTACATAATTTGTTTTTATTCAAACCAATGAATAGTTGTTATATAAAAATATAAACTGTTTTATATTATTTTCTACAGAATAACGATGGGTATTAATGAATAAACTTCGGGCAATAATTATAATTCTAAATATGTTGATTTTCAATATTCTTCTTACGATCACAATTACTGTAAGTGTTCTCTAAAATCAAATACATAAAACTTTGCATTGATAGTGCTATATCGCTAATCTTTATTGA